CTGCCAAGACTGGTCCAAGACGACGTATTCCGGTCTTCGCGATTTCCCGTAGACCGTATCCAGTTTTTCCAGGAACTTGAAGAGTCCCGCCTGGGAGAAGTCGGTGAAGGGGTCGGGCCTGAAGAACACCAGCAAGGGGGTGGTGCCTTGCGGCTCGTTCTCCCCCATCTTGCGACCGCGAGGCCCGACCTCGTTGCGAACCAGCTTCAGAGTGTCTGCGGTGCAGACGCTGTAGTTGAGTTCGAGGTACTCCTCGGGTGGCACCCGGTAGTACTGCTCTTGATGGGCCACCGACAGACACAGGCTTCCCGGTTCCTCCGAGTCCACCGAGACGAAGAGAGGCAGCTCGTACGGGACGTGGATGACGGCGCCGGCGCTGGAGTACCAGGTGCGCCGGAGGATCCTCCCGAACGGACCGGCGCCGGTGACGTACGCTGTCCGGTTCACCGAGAACGGCTGATCCTCCCCGGCCGGTCGGTTCAACGGCCAAGTGAAGCCGTCTCCCATGCCGTACCACGAGGCGTCGGCCAGGCTGAAGCAGTCCCGGTGCTCCGTCTGCGTCAGCAGCGACGACCACATGAAGTTGTAGCACTGCACCCTGCGGGGACGTCGTCGCATGGAAACTCATCAATGAAAGGGATTTTATGAACATTAACGAATTACTTCCTAGTGACAGATGAATCATTTAAAAAAGAATTTAAAATAATTTTTTTTTTCAGGGTTGACATGACGATATCTGGCGTTAATAGGTAGGAAAAACAGTCATCTCGAGTGAAGTTACTCTCTGGGAAAATACTGAAGGAAGGAATCCCCATGTACAGTAGAACTCTACAGGGTGGCCACAAAGTCCCGTTGCACGAATGACCATGTTCTCTAACGATATGTTTTTTGTTCAGTTTTGCAGATAGGGGTTCAATATGACAGACACTAGTGGTTATACGATAGCAGAAATACTTGTTAACAGTATTTGGGTTCATGATCGCAAGAGAGAGCGGATAAGTTGTGAAGACATAAGAGCGCAATTTTGGCCGAGGTTTAATAAGCCTGCTCCCTTACGTGAAACATTACGGGCATAGAAGAAATAGGCTTTCTCAACAGGGAGTGTTCTTGACGCAGTGTTCTGGTCGTCCAGCGTCACGTCGGGATCATGTGGACATTGTTGAAGCCTCCTGTTCAAGATCGCCGCAGAAATCAACGCGGAAACGTTCTTAGGAAATAGGCATTGCTCGTTCAACATTGCAATAAATATTGGAAAAGGATTTGAGGTTAAAGCCGTTCAAGCCTGGACACATCAATGAGCTTAGTGATAGGACTTGGATACACGTGAGGCTGCTCGAAAGGCACACTTACGATGTTTTCCCACTTATGAATCAAGGCGACACGTTTTTTTCTCAGATGAGTGTACAATTTATCTTTGCGATCGAGTCAGGAATGTTTATTTTTGTTGCAAGGAAAACCCCCATTACTATGAGGAAATTGAGCAGCACCCACCTCATGTCATGATGTGAGCAGCAATTTCAACAGATCACTTAATTGGTCCAAACTTTTTTGAGGGAAGTGTTGATCACAAGGTGTTTATGAACATGCTGTAAGCGTAGAACGTTCCGAAACTGCGTGAGAGGGATCTCGAATCAAAATGCATCCTGCAGCGAGATGGTGCACCGGCACATCATACTCTCGCAGTTCGAGAATATCTTAACACTTTCAGTGGACGATGGATTTGACGACTATCTGATATGGCATGGCTACCTCGAGGCCCAGACTTGACAACATGCGATAATTTACTGGGGCACTGTGAAGGAGAAGATTTCACAACTGCGGCTAACAAATGTTGAAGACCTAAAAACAGCCACCAGGGACAGACATTTATGGTATTCAGTCTTCACCGCGGAAATAAAATGTCTAAAAGAACATGGACATGGGTCAAACAATGTGCGGAGAACGGAGGGCAAACTATGCTGTAATTTCACTGCAAATGAATTTTGTGGCCACCCTGTCCTTAAGAGTAAGAAGGAAATTCGCGCATTTTCGGTCGAGTCTCCAATCAGCGTCCCACTACGTCGACTTAGCGGGGAAGGATCGCGGCGATAGCTAGATTACATTTAGCTTTCACTGACTCACACTACGACTATCACAAAGTTCCCCCCAACCTTCCATCTTTCACTCCTTTCCGAGTTATGGAGAGAATAGGATTCTGACCCGGATCCGTGCTGCTGCAGGGAGACGTAAAGGCGGGCTTTCCCCTTCCATTCCATGCAGAGTTCATCGTAGTCCAGCTCCATCTGTCGGAGACAGAGGAGTCCAGCGTCCCCTCCGAGTCCCATCCCCAGCTGGCAGCAAAATAAAAAAAAGTGACGTGGCATGCAATTTGCCATTAACGGTATAATAATGTATAGGTTCTATTCGAGGGTGTCATTACGACATGCATCGATTACTTATGCTAAAAGTAATGCGGGGTGAAGCAAGTGAATTTGTTGGGGACATTGCCCCCGTCCCCCAACCCCCTTCCTTCCAATCCCTGAACGGCCTGAGAAAATTAGCTTGCATGTTGCAGGTTTCTTTTGGGCTCTCTGCGGACCGCATATTTGGGCCCATCGATGGGCAGGATACCGAGGGGACGTTTTTCCTCATCGTGCATCCGTTGAAGATGCAGTGAAAGGAAACTGATGCGTTATGACCGTTTCATCCTCGACGGCGACTCCGATCCCGTCGGCTAAGAGGGCGGCACGATCGTTTACGTAACTTTAAATCCCAGCTTCGAAACCACGTATGGAGCACAGAGCCTCTTCAACAAAAATGAAGCCGACTTCACATGGGGTATCTGCTCTCTGTACGTATCCACAGACGAAGTATGACTTCCCCGATGGCGAACAGCTGCCATCGTCGTTCTGGGATCCGGTTCGCGTCCAGCGCCTTGCGAACGTCTTTCGCGCCGAGTTCGCGGTCGTTGTGCGTTGGCTGCCAATATGTATCCCGTTCATTCTTTCCTGGCCGATACCCTTGAGTCTCACGCCCTCGACTTGTTGCCCTTTTCAAACCAAAGACGCAGATGTGACCCTCCAACCTTTTTTTTAATCTTTTGCATTTCTTTCCCTCGAGCCCGAAAGAACCCCGTTAATACACCTATTCGAAAAAAACCTAAGCGGTAGCGGCTAAGAAAGGAGATGGCATTCGCCAAAGAAGATCCCGAGCCCCAAGACTGTCGGGCCTGCTTTGCTCTCGGCTCACACATTCTCTACAATGTTTCGCAAATGAATTCGAACCACCTTTAACATGGGGCCTATGCTTTTCTATGGAAGAAGCCTCCCAACCTGGACGGCGGCGGTTTCGTCGCGGCGCCTGGGTGATATTCAACGTCCGTAGAGTGAACTACAGCGGATCGGAGAATGTTGAGGCCAAGATTAAAGTATAAAGGAATTATTTTTGTATTTTGGGAGGAACATGATGGGTTGAAATAACAAGGGGTTCACAATAGGGTCCGGGAAGACGTGGAATAAGAAACCGAACAAGGAAAATTTCAAGAGAAACAATCAAGTATTCGTAGAAGGGAGGAAACATATAGAAGTCGAATACAAGGAAGGTTGTTATGGAACAATGTGTCAGGCTTTAGGTCACAGATTCCATCGTACTTACAGACTTTTAGGCATTCTGCTGAAAGTTGAAAAAATCAAATCAAATCAAGGATGTCGATGGCCATAGCTATCTTCAAATGCACAGTCCAACATAGATTTGAAGTGCGTCGAGTATTTGACATTCAGGTCTTGGGACACGAGAATGCATGACTGCCCGACCTGGTACTTGGCAACGATCCTGTGTCTCGACGACTTGTCTATTCTTTCATACTGGCCACGTGACGTCATCTTTGCTGTACGGCAACTCCAAAGAGACTGACCGATTGATGCGCTATTACTATGCAATACTGTGGCGCTATGAAGCGGGAAGGAGACATCTACCAGTTAGACCTCCGCTGCCACTGCATTGGATGCTCCGTTGATTTACCATGCGCAATGTTAAAGGTGGGACGATTTCGTTTGCAAAATACACTATGACTCAGCCTCATTCTTGTTCTTGCTGTGGTACAGATTCAATCAGAGGAGGGTCATGTGTAACTCTGCCTCGAATGAAGCTCAGGAATTCCGGTGAATTTACATTTCCCAAATAAGTTCCTTCAATTCCACACAAAAATGAGATCTATTGAACTGATACTTTCTCACTCTTTCGAAGTACACTCCTGCTTTCACGATGTAACGATTTATCTGTCTGAACTGCTTTCGAATGCATTTTCCCAAGTTTTCCCACCGGGTATGGAGCGGACCTCACCCCAGCAGACTGCTGGCTTTGGGGTTACCTCAAGAGCCGTATTTATCACAATGGCCTCACCATATGCCACGAGTTGAAGGAGAGCATACGGCAGGAATTCCGCTCCATACCCTCTGATATGACTATCATACGAGAAGCGTTTAAAAGTGTTGAGACTGTACTCGCTCGAACGAAGGTTAAGGAGGGGCGATCTCATACAGGCTTTCTGAAATCGCCTCTTGATATCACTAACTCTCCTGACTCCTGATATGCTTCGAGCAGCAGTTGGGAATGTGTTGTCACGATTGGAGATTATGACTATCACAAAAGGAAAGCACATCGAACAGCTATTATAAAAAACGTATGCCATATGTGGACCATAGGTACCATCTAGTATGACCATAACGCCATCATAAACCACCACATGACTGTGAACGTTTTCTTCCGCATGGTCAAATTGGTATACAAACCAAATTTCACTGTGTCCATCGGTTTCCTGGAGGCAGTCGTCTGAACAACGGAAATGACTTTTGAAACGCCCTGTACTCATACTTAAAATATATCAGACAAAATATATTACTATGTTCCAAAAACCTGCAATGTGAATTTAAAATTCAAAGTTTTGCCCTTTTAGGCTAACTTTGACCTTCAATAACTTGTTCGATTCCAGGTGCCGATATGATTCTTCCTCGAAATGATACATTCCTCAAAGTCTTTTCAGGCATAATAGTTTTATTCTGTTACTCCAAGAGCCTGAGAGTTTGAAAAATTGTTAATTGATCATATCAAGCAACATCAGGCGCTTAACTCCGCCTGGATCATGTTGTAGGCACGGTAACATATTACACTTGATAATGTGGATTTTATTCAGCTGGGAAACGCCTACGTGCATTTTAACATTTTCAGGTCATGATCCATCTTCCGCTTTACGTTTTTCGATGGATGGCTGTGATGTGTAAGAACTGACAGAGGGAAGAGCCAGGATAAAAAAAAGTAGAGAAAATAATTTCTGAAAATGACTCGCTATCCAAAGCATAACCTTCAAGTCATCCATAACCTCCTCTTGGGCGTTTGATGGGGGCAGGGACGGATATGCCACGTTGCGGCATATCCTTCACTCTAATGCGATATTGTGAGAATATCGTCAGATGGAATTTATTGTTATCTGATGATTGCCGACTGAATTAAGCAGAAGTAATTGAATGTCGAAATTGACCAAATATTTGTAAAATTTTCAGCTTAAGTTTTGCATAACAGCTTTTTTTTTCAAATAGTAAAAAACAATTAAGTATGTTTTTGGACCAGCCTTATAGAGCGCGAAAGACATCCGAAAGCTGGATTAGTTACAAGCATTTTTAGTTTGGAATTTTTAGGTTTAAAATTTTAAATGTTCTTAGATTAAAAAATTTATATTTTTCCGTAATCGAGGCCCAAAACGCATGAATAAGTTATGATTGTCTGGCTTCCCGCTTTGAGATGAGCTATTAACCGGCTTTCTTGCTTGGGTAGTTTGGGATATGCGGTATTGGTCCGAGAAATTATTTTACCCTTTCCTCACAAGCTTCAAAGGGGCACTTCCTGAAGAACCATTGGACCGAGACAACTCAGATGTTCGATTTACCAGTTTCCCACACGATGCCTTTTTTGTTTACAGCCAAATTCCAGTCGGTGTAACAACCAATATCTTGAACACTTGAAACGCAATGACTCGTTTTGTAATTGATAGTATGGGTGCAATATAATCATTGGCGTCATGTTACGCCATAAACAGACGAAGGGGTGAAGGACTTGCTTTCTTCTCATTAATGCACTCCTCCAGGATTAAAATATAAGTAATAAATCAGCCATGCTGCTTGGATGCAAGCCATCCGAAGATGGCAAGGCAATATAAGTCAGATGAAGCTAGCACTTCAATGTGGACGATGTCGGAGAACACGATGTCGGAGTGGACGATGTCGGAGTGGACGATGTCGGAGTGGACGATGTCGGAGTGGACGATGTCGGAGTGGACGATGTCGGAGTGGACGATGTCGGAGTGGACGATGCCGCCCAATTAGTGGAAACTGGTCGCTGGCAGGAAATGCGAGTCGGTTGTAACCGGCCAGTTTAACCGAGAGCCAACAAAAACCCCGTAGTATAACCTATAAGTTGCGCGAAACGGGGCAGGGTCGTGGGAAACACTTGTAGGCACTTTCGGAAGCGTCGGACGCACGCATCGGCCTACTCACCGGCCGAACCGCCGAAGCTAGTCGAGAGGCATCTGCATAGCTGCAGACATCCGCAAGGGAGCGGCATGCGGATGCATCTCCTCTCTCCTAGCCCATCGTGGCTCGAGCCTTTCCTCGGTCCCTCGGCCGGAAGGCGGCGGTCAACAGGGCAGGGAATCGCCTTCAATTTTCATTCCGGGTTCATTCCCTTCCAATTTACATGGACTGCCTCGGGCACACCCGCCCTTTCCGAAAGGAGAATATTAGGAGCGCTTCTTTTTCGCCCGTAGTAGGTACTCATTCTGCTGCCCTTATAGCAGCTCGAGGGAGCAAATAAAAATGATCGCATTTAACTTCATCGTCTCGAAACCGAAGGAAAGCATGCTAACGATATGTCAAGTATGTAACGTATGTACGAGTATAAGCATGAATATGTTGACCGACTCTCCTCGTGATTCGGCTGTGTTTATCATCTCATCTCATTCCATCTCACGAATTTCTATTTTTAATATGCCACACACGACGAGACGGAAATGACCCTGCAATGGTTTCAACTTTATCTCATTCAGCAACTGAAGAGAAGATTAATTCCTTTTGTGTTTTTGGCCGCTGCGTTTTCCTGGCCTCGCCCTGCATCACTTTAAGGTCTGTTAAGGTAATATTTTAAAGACTAATTTACGGACAATCCGAGAACCTCGAGGGTCGGAAAGACCGACTCGTCACCTTCCCCACACTTCAGAACGTAGAAATGTGGAAAACAATTTCCGAGGTGTTCACTTCCATCAGGGTAGAAGTGATTAGTGGTCGCGGGAAATATATTCTCCGAGAAACCTCTGGCAACGAAAATTTACCATTTTTGTGCAAATTTTTTCCGATTGAAAGATTTCCGTTTACCATATGGATTTCGAGGAGAACTTAAAGCGGTTTAAGCATTTGCGAGACGATCGTACTTGCACGGATTCCCTTTCGAGTGATATTCGCAGTTCACGAAAAGTTTGCACGAATTCCTCATCGATCCCTTCCTCATTCCTCGCGAATCGATCGTGCACCCAGAATGCCCGTCTCATCGTCGGTCTGGCATGAAACTTTTAGCCTCGTGATTGTCTTCGTTTTATTCATCTAGGCTTAAGAGGGACAGGAATGGCGTCGGAGAGAAAAAGAGAAGAGAAGCAAAAGTTGAGATGCGCATCGTTCTTCCGGAAGGTGGACTCCAAACCGCATTTCTAGATCTTCCAAACAGGAAGATCTAGAAATGCGGTATTACTACGTCATAATGCCCACCTGGACTACAAAAAGTTACCCAAAAATGGAAGTTGAAAGGATGCTGGAGAGGAGGGAGAGTGACGGGCGAAGGGGGGGGGGGGGAGCCAGAGTATCAGATGGCGAAATGGAGAGTACGGGCCGGGAAGGTAAACAAATGCCACTTCCAGGCTTGGTGGTACTTGTTGAATTGTTTATTTGATTCGCCGACGAGCGGAACACCATCGTGTAAAAGTAGAGCAAGTATCTTCTTCGCTTAGATTCATTTTCGTTACACGGCGAAAATTAGCGCCATTTTTTCTACGCTCACCTTGCCAAAACAAAAAGGATTTAATCCTGGAAATACCTTATGGGTCGAACGGACCGCGATGATGAGTCCACAACGCACATCGCAGCCCACCCGTCACCAGAGCTGGATACATAAATTTTTCAGGGGGGGGGGAGGCCGATTCCCTACTTCCTACCGCCCCCCTCGCCTTTCACCACTCCCTGCTCTATCGCCTTTTTCATTTCTCGTCTGGGGTAAAAACTTGAATATCTATTTCACTGGCCCCAATACAAATTAATGTAGAAGCTATTTAAAAAAAAAAAGAAAAAAAAAATAGAATGGTAACCTGGCCATAGGGGGGCGGTCGTCCCCCCCGCCGCCCCTCTGGATCCGCCCCTGCACGTCACCAACGTCACCAGTTGTGTGAGCAACGCCGTAAATTTGCCCGATGCTCTGTCACTTTTCAACGATGACGTGACATCAATTATTTAACCACATCTTCTTACGTTCCCGTATTGTATGAATAGATAATGGGACAAACGGACCGATGCGGAGGACAGAAAATGCTACCAATTAAGTGATTAACGAGGCGAGAAAAGTGGAGGTGTGGCGACACCCACAGACCGGTTCCGCCCATTCACGGAGACAAGCCGTCCGACGAGGGACACCTGGCCCGATCTCGCCCCGTCCCCAATCTCTTTCTTACGCAATCCGGTAAGGAAAAAAATAAATCCACTCCCCCATTATCATACCCGTCCGGTGAGTATCGGATGTTGGCTGGAGTTGAGGAAAGCCACGCGCCGGTCTCGCTCGTCGATGTGCATCTGAGTACCGAGGTACCGCTAAATTCATAAATAAATAAACAACACGGATATGAGCACATAAACGAATGCAATAAATAAAGAAATGGGACGTTAATAACAGTAATACAAAGTGAGTTGAAAGAGTTTGGAGACTCGGGTCACCCCGACCGAACTTTGCCTTGTATACAAAAAAAAGTCTGTGAGCGTAGCAAGGGTTTCGTCCTTCATGCTTTCCAAGAGCGAATGTGCTGAGCCTCATGTGGCAGTTACTGAGCGTTCCGGTGGCATCGACGGTTCTGAGAAGACCGTGCAGGGCATGTCCGAACGTACGTCGTCTTCCGGGAACTCGCAGTCCATAATCGTCGATGCCGCTCAAACGCTCGCGGACACGTTACATAGTTCCCATACGTCTGTTTCGGCATTCCAAAGGTCTCTGCAGCCGTTTTTCCCAATTTGGCAATACTCATGTTATCACGCTGTTCGAAGCGTGACATGTTCACGAGGTGAGTGCAGACTGCCGACCGACAGCTCAAGGATTGCATGTGGCCCAACCCACTAACTGCTACACGAGGCTCGGCGCATTCACTCAACATTTTTTTTTGGTATGCTAGGCAACGTTCGGTGGGGGTGATCCGAGTCTCCAAAATTTTTCAACCTAACTATAGTTAGGTTGAAAAAGTAAATATTACAAAAATATATATTGAAGGAAAAATACGTTGAATCTGCGGAACTCACGATGAGAAGTTGGCGATAGTAATAGATGTAGGTGAGGGCCATGCCCACCGTGATGCTCAAGAAGAGGAAGGCGACGAAGATCTTCACGGCGGCCTTATCGTCCAGCTTTCCAGGGGAACAAAATACAATAAAAACAGTTAAAAAAATAAATAAATAATGCAAATAACGTCAAGAAAAATGAGAAAAGCGGACGGGACGGACCATCGCTCTCTTGAAGAAGGGAGAGACGGAGGATCGGAGCGACTTGTAAGGGGAACTTGGCTCCACATCCTTGAGCTCGGGAAGGTTCTTTACTAGGGAGTCTCGCCGAACTTTTATCGCCAGGGGGATCCTGGTTTGTGGTGCATCTCGCGTCACAACAATGAATGGGTGATTAATGATGGAATTTGTTTTATTATTTATTGGATTTACTAATTTTATTTTCCAACACTTTTGATCATCCTTTTATTATGATAAACCCAACAGTGAAAAAAGAAAACACAAACCAAATGAAAATTAACATTTTTGTTTTTCGTCGAGAATCAGCTGAGACTCAACTTCAACAGGCTTGGATACCACCGATTCGAAATTTTAATTGGCATTTTGGGAAACGTTAGTGTGTGATGAACGACTACCAAACCGAAACTTATTTTTGGAAGACCGTTTTTCATCTTCGTCGAAATGAAAGCAGGAATCTTGCTTTTAACGATTTGCCAGGATGGTCTTATCAGCGAAAGAGAAACCTCCGAGTGATTGTGCAAGACGCTTGGCAAAGTGACAGGTCTAGTCCAGAGCAAACGAGATTTGCTAGAAACATTCAACGGCCAAACCGTAGTAAATGTTAGAGCAGAAAAGAAGGTGGCTCTCGCGACACGAGGACTGGTCCCCTGCTTTGCGGGGAGACCAAATTTCTCTCTTGTGATTTGTCGAACGGATTTCCGTGCCCCGCCCATCGCCAGGCTTCATTGGTGAACTTTTCACCCCCTTCCCAACGCCCAGGCTCAGAATGAACCTGCAAGCCGAGAGGTTGGTTTGCTACTCCTTCAGCCCATCCCAACTCAGTGTAATGCAATTTATTACAATTGACTTTCGAGCGCTTGGAATTCACATTCTGCACGAGACATTATCCTGCATCGAACAGGCAGTTAATTTTATTCCGGACTCACTCAAAATGCGTCGCATTTAGGGTGAGGGCCGGTGCAGTAAATCGTGATTCGATTCCGATCGCCCACGAGATTATCTGAGGATATACAGGTTTGGGCCTGATAGATATCGAGGATTAGCTCAGATTCCGTTGTTGAGCCTCGAGAAACCTCCTGTAAAATCGAGATAAAGGGAACACGTTGGACGAGCCCACTACAGGAGCGAGTTTTTTTTTTTGTTCGGAAGTTAGGAAATGGACATGGACGTGGCATGTCCGGCTAGAACGCAGATGAAAATTTATGGTGTTGCAAAAACGCCTCAGCACGAATCATGTGCGCAAATACCCGATTATATAACGCCTGACTATTCTGGATTCCTGGTACCATCGTCGAAAAAGGAAATGTTCTTGGACCTGTCTTGTAAACAGGCTCTCTTTGAAAAGACCCGTATTTACAGAGGAGGAAGACATACGACGCTATGACTCACGTGACGGCCACGTGTTCGTCGTCAGACTCGGCATGATTGGCGGTGAGGACCCAGCTGCTCCGAACGACTTCCTTTTCCCTGGCGTCGGGCTTGGGAACCCGGAGGAAGGTGGGTTTGGTGGCCGGGACGGCATCGGGGGTCTTGGGTTTGGGGAAAAGGACCCGATCCAGGAGTTTATTTGCAATCACGGGGGCGGAGGGGGGGCTGGGTAGGCGAGGGGCCTGGAGGTCGGAGCGGGAGGATTCCATCAGGGAGCCGGGGGCACTCGGGACGATGTGGAGGTGGAGTTGCTTGCTTGAGTCAGAGGGGTAGAGGGTCGTGGCGAGCTTACGCTGGAGGGTGGAGTACGAGGAGTCATTTGGGGGCGGATTCTCCCGGGGGAAGGGAGGGTCCGGGGAAGATGGATTATGGAGGGAGATCGGGGTAGTTTCATCCGTCGTACCCGTCTTCCACTGAGGAGTGGGGTGGTCCGTCGCCACGGGGGACAAGCCGTTCTGTTTCTTCTTCACGGGAACAGGGGAATAAGAACACGACATGATTACAGTCTGTCGTAAACCGTCACCCACCAGAATCTCTACATGGGCGATGGTAGAATAATGTTTCGTGTGTGACCGAGCTTTTCGTCTCTCTCGTTGGAGTCGACGAGCTATTCGCTACCGGCCTTCAGCGAGTGCACGACTTTATCTCAAAGCAATTCGGATGCGGGTCCGAATAAGGATCGGGATAAGCACGTCGAATGAGCGAACGATATGCCGGCCGGAGAGTAAACATACGTGCCTGCCGTCGATCGGCCTCCACGCACGAACGCGATCTCATTCCGACCGATTTTTAAAATTTATATCACATCACGCACGAGAGCGAGAACCCATCGGAACTCTCACTGTCAAGAATTCTTGCAGAAACTCTCACCGAGTCGGGACCGAAGAGCAGCTGCAGCGGGATCTGCAGGGGATCCTGCATGGCTCATCACGAGAGACCGATGCACGGGGACTGAAGGAAGGAGGGCATGTTAGGCATGTAGACGGCACGAGACAGAAGGGAAAAATGGGGAGAGAGCAGAAATGGAGGGCAGACTACCTGCTTTCGATCGCGAGATAAGATCCTCTGGTTTCCCTCACTCGGGACGGGGTCCACGAGAGACTCTAATTAGTGCGTTATTCCCGTCTGGTGCAGTGCACGCACTCGAGACGTGTCAGCGCCTGCGGGGGCCCTCGACGTGATGGAGAGACCCTCCACATGCCGGCGGAGTTTATACGTCCCTGCTCTCCTGGAGTCACGGTCAGTCACCTAAGGTAGAGGAGTGGAGGGGAGGTTTCCTGGACTCACAAGGTGGAAAGGAGCCCGGGAGAGGACGATATCACACGGCTGAGCTGCATTCCATTAAAATAGAGCCGGCAAGGGGAGGATAATCTGTTCTTATCTCTGGGTCGGCAGTGTTGCTGCCGTGAGCAGTGTTGTCGCCTGGGAGTGAATGGGAGAACCTCATCCAACGTATTCTTGGCCGCCAGTTCGATTGGATTAACCAACCGAGCGAGCGATTAAAGTTGTCATTCCATCGAAATGAATGAAATTGTTATTGGCTTCTGAATCTCTCACCGAACGCCTCTTTTTCTTTTTCAACCTCACTTCAAAGTTTGCAAAATAATGAAAGGTCATTCAATGATTGCGGTCATATAAAATGCTGACTTTTAGAAGTCCTTCATTCTCACCCTTTCGGTATGGATTGAGAAAAAAAAAGTTATTTATTCAGTTAAATAAAACATTTATTATTTTTAATGATTCTGAGTGCTGCGCTCTAGTACCTTTCCGAAACCTTTCAGTGAGTTATTAATATTCTGAAGTCTCTCGGCGTCTCCTCGTCTGAATAATCCTTCATACACTCGACGTAGAGTTTCGTCCATAGAGTAGAGAGCATAACTGGAGACGGAACTCCGCTCCAATCCTATTCATTGACAGGGTCGCAATAAACTCAGGTCAAGTGTTACGAACCACACTGCAATTTTCTTAGAAATAACACGTGTTATTGACTTGAAATTTGCGCAGCATATTTCTGACATAATTTACCAGACATGACGTAAATCTCACTCTTAAGTCGCCGCCGTTGGCTTTGATTATGGCCTCTTATTATGACCTCTTATTGAAGTTGTTGACGCTGTTCCTCATCCCTTTCATTGGAATTTAGTCTTAAATACGAACCATATCTTCTCTGGGATGATCTAGATTGTGGTGGGACTTGGAACAGGTTCCAAGCAGGAACTTGAGGATCAACCACATGGCGTAGTTAAGAGGGTTCAGATTTGGAGACGACGGGGCCACTTCTCCATGGTCATGAACCCACTCAAATTCTTCTGACACAAGTCCTGGGTCACAGTCTCATGGGACGTTGCTTCGTCCTGCTGGTATGTCCATGGCTCGTCCTCGAACAGATATTGAGCCTACGGGAGCAGGACATCCAGTAGGATGGATTTTATGCAAATTTTCTTGATTTTGATGTCCTCGGGAACGAAGACTAGGATGCACTTGCCCTTGGTGACGGCGGCCCACGCAGTGATGGAGGCCGGCTTCTGGATGCGGGACATCATTCCAGCATGGTCGGTAATTTCCCCTCGACTTCGTGCCTAAACCCGATCATTTGGCCTCTTGTGGTCGTCGCCTGCACCACGAATAATTTCCCGTCCGCGGAGACGATGTTTGGGGGCCGAACCCTTTTTGAGCCTCTCCAGCATCCGACGACATTGACGACGCCTCTTACTCTTGATGGCTGCACTGAGGAGCTGTCGTTTCTGAAGCCAGTAGGAGGTGAACCCTAGATCGTTCTTGACCATTCTCATTATTGTCGACCTCGAGACATTTTACTCCTTCGCCATTTTTCTGATGGATCTATTAGAATTGTGCCAAATCAGGTGTTTGACTTGGTTGACGAATTTATTCGTTCTCGTCGTTTTCCTGCTGCATCCAAATCGATAGGAGGTAGAGTCTGTCTCAAGGTATCGATCTAATTTCCTTTTGATGAAGGCTCTGCTCAAGTTCAACTTCTTGCCCACCTTTTCAATGTCTGGTCTTTTCAGGTCAAGTTCATGCAGTTCAACGACTAACGACCCTCTGGATTTCAACGCATTTTCTCCACTGGTGATCAAAAGGCAAAGTCAAACTCATGCTTGGATTGAACAGCTGAAACGTACGATTTCAACAAATAACATTTGAACTACGTGAGTCAAATATTTGGTGCAGGAGGGGACTCTAAAATTGTGTTACACTTGACCTGGACCACCCTGAAAATGTCACTGTCGATCCTCCACATAGTGGGCGCACATCAACAACCCTTCCATGGCCGAGCAGCGGGCTCAACGAGACACGCGTGTTACGTTGAGGGATCCAGTTGGGTCTAATCCCCGAACGAGTCGATTCCCGATTCCGATGCCACGAAGCACGCCTTATACTGTAGAAGTGTTGTTGATAACAAGCCACCAGATGTCTCTGTAATATTTCGACCCCCCCTACCCCTCGGAGTGTCACCTCTAGTTATACTCTCTATTCTATGGTTTTGTCCTTGTTCTCAACTTCCTTACAGCCACTGAGAAATGCCTCCCTTCATTTTGGATCCTGCTCTTTCTATTCCATTGGAGTCGGGCTTGTGTGTTTCAGAAAGCAGAAGAACGAGATGAGGAAAATGGCCTGGAAATAATCGATTAGAGTTTTACAAAATCCAATAGCAGCCATCGTTATTTTACTTCTTCGATCTGCGATTGTGAGAACGGAAATGACATGCCTCTGTGTTCCTCGCCGAAGGCATATTTTAAATGAAAAATTAATGCTCCTCACGCAAGCAAATGAGGCTCGTGACGAACAGCGCTCATGGATTGTGGGATCCAGGCAGCAGCAATCTTGGAGGTGAGAACCCCAGCGGGTCAGCATTCAGGCATTTTCTTATCTTTCCTGGGAATAGTTAAAAAAAAATTCTATTGAGCATTTTTTTCCCAATGAATTTTCCTGATAGTTTGTTGTGATTCGAGTAATGTGGAGTAAGCGCCATCTAGCGATATTTAAAGCCAAAACGGTGTCTCAAGCAGAACGCAACGTAGTATCTATTCTGATGATGCTGCAGCTTTTGCGCGAACTCGACTGACAGAGATTTACCCAATTCCTAAAATGAAATGTTGAACTCTGAATCTTGGCAGATGAACCCAAAAACGCGCACATCAATAAAACTTAAACGAAAATAGCGATTCGAAGGTCCTTCCTCGCAACTTGAGCAACATATAAACTCAGCTATTTCAAAAGTTTGAAATAGCCCTTTCTCATTGAAATAGACACTCTGAAAAGTGATCGTTTGAAGAGATCTGAATGACAGACCCGAGAAGAAAAGTAATAACCACGGCAATCCATATAGGGGCTAGAAAATGGAACGTTTCTAAAGCGGGGGAAGCGGAGAGGTGGATCATGGCGTCATCTTCATCGTCATCGTGACGTCGCCTTCATGGAATGGCATTCGTGGTGTCACCTTCACGGCATAATACAAGGTCTGTCCCAAAAGTATATGAACTTCAGTTATAAATCAATTTCCCATGTGATATTTATAATTTTTATCATTGATTATTCAAAATACGTCCCTTCCGAAGAAATGCAGGCTTTACATCGACCATACGACTTTTGGAAACACCTCTGGTAGTCTTCCTCCGAGATGGCGGAAATAACCTTGGTCGAAGCCTTTTGGATGTCCAATATCGTGTCGAAACGCTTTCCTTTCGGCTTCATTTTTAGTTTGGGGAAAAGGAAATAATCACAGGGTGCCAAATCAGGCGAATAGTGCTGGTGGTCGAGCACTACGACTCCTTTTGAGGCCAAAAAGTTCCGCACAATGATGGACCTGTGAGACGGAGCATTGTCGTGGAGGAGAGACCAGCAGCCTGGTGCTTGGTATTGAGGACGGACCCAAGCGATTCTGGCCAGCAAACGCTTCATAACGGCGAGGTAGTATTCGCCATTTACCGTCTGGCCTTCTGGAACGAACTCCTTGTGGATAATCCCAGCCGAATCAAAGAAAGTGATTAGCATTGTTTTCACTTTTGACTTCTGCATGCGCACTTTTTTTGGTGTTGGTTCTTCTGGAGTCTTCCAAACTGAGCCCTGGCGCTTCGTGAGTGGCTCATATTGAAAACACCATGTTTCATCGCAAGTTACAATGGTTTTTTTAAAAAGTTTGGGTTATTATCGGCGATTGAAATGATGTCTTGGGCATGCAGCACTCTGGCTTGTTTTTGATCGTCGTCCAATGAATGCGGAACAAATCGCGCACAGACTTTTCGCCTCTGCAAATCTTCGGTCAAAATGCGGTAAACTTGTGATTTACTGATACCTATGATATCCTCAATGCGTCTCACGGACATGCAACGGTCGCTTTTGATCAAATCACGCACAATCACGCGTCTCCGTAAATGTTTTCCCCAATTTTACACAGAATTTGATGTTAGCTCTCTTCTCCATGGTGATTTCTCGACGAGTGTCATAAGGGTACTGTTACTTTGGCGCCCTAGGCAATGACTCATTCGTCTTAGCCCAACCAAACTCAACACATGAAGGTTCAACCAATAGAACGCCACCTTCTTTCAACAAATGGCGCCACTAATACTGTCTGTATAGAAAAAGTTCGGATACTTTTGGGACACACCTTCTATTCACAGTGTCACCTTGATTCCTATTGCGGCGGCTCTTCCACTTTTTCCTCCGTCTCTTCCCGTCATGTCTCGGTTTTCACGGAAATGGACATGGCCCGGGGCGTTGACATGTTTTAGGGCAGATTGAGTTGCCCCCGTAGAGTCTGGCAGTTGGATCCCCACCATGTTAATCGAATGGTTTTCGTTGGCTTAAAAGTAGTTCGTTGAATAAAGTCGACGTTGGTAGGCCATCGTGCTGCTTCTAGCACTTCTACGGTTAAAGTCAGTTGGTGAAAGTTAATAAAAAGGAAATAATTGATGCTGGCAATAAAAAACTTATGGAGCAAAGTTAGCAACGCTAAATAGAAGCAGTGATGTATTGGTGAGGAGTGATTACGTTCAAAACGTGGAAGTGGAGTAGGTCAGTTGTTCCGTTTAGTAGTTGTGTGCGTGATTTGTGCAGATTTGTGCGTGAAAAAGTCTGAGAAATTCTCAATCCCTCCTTGCACTCTATGACTCGTTCAGTGAAATCTTGCTTCGTTCCGGGGGGTGTCCGGACCCCGAGGACACCTACCCTCCCTTCTCCTCCTCCACGGCTTACTTCCCTGGCTGAAATGGGACTGAATCAAGTAGAAATGGAATCCCCGCGTGAACCTAAACACAGGTGCACAATTTGAAATGGCAGATTCTATCTGGTTAGTGGAAGACTATGAGCAAAATATAAAAGCTGAGATGCCTTGCAGAAAGTAAAAATCGTTGGTACCAATGAAAAACTTGTATTCCAAGAAACCTTGTGCACCATAATTTTCCCATAAAGCTCCAGAGGTTTCTGAAATATTCTCAACAAACTAAAATAATAGTACATCTGGAATTTCCCAAGCCACAGCTAAAAAAATAAACCAAATTTCTTCAAATTCATAGGACTCCATGATAAAACATACAGCTACAGATTGCTTGGAGCAAAAATGTGAATTTTAAAAAATTTCCATACAAAAATGAAAAATTTCTGTCATGTGATTGGAAAATTTCATAGCAATTGCTCCTTAGCTCCCTACTTTTTTCATAAAAAATAAATATAATCAAAACTGGTCCCAACACATTCCAGTTTTGTCATTTTTGAGTGTCCAAGAGCAATTTCTTGTTTCTGGCACCAATATTGTAGGAGTAATTTGGGAAATAATAATTGCATGCAATATGTGTATGCATGTATTGCGATTTTTTGTTCATAGTCTCCCCTTAAGAGGATTGTGACTCGATCGTGCTACATCACAGGCGGGTTTAGAGAAAAGCTGATAAAATTTCAAGTCTTTCAGTGCTGACCCAGATATTTGTCCTTAGCGACATTGACGACGCCTTACGAGTACGTAGATGATGTGCTCATGCACAGAAAAAAAATTACTGCATGAAGCTGAGGAAACCCACACAATAAAATATTGCTACAAGATACCAATTGAAGGAAATATTGTATTTATGCTCGCAAAGGAATAAAACAACTATAAAGTAAGCCACAAAATCTATCACCGATCAAAGCACTGGAAAAGAGCGAATGTCGGTTGAAGATTCTGTTGCACAAATGAACCTGCAGCTGTAAAGGAAAATCCTTATGGTAAATGATAAATTATGAATAAGGTAAAAATCTCACATTCACCATCAATAATGATAAATGAGATACTGACTAACACACACAGCAGATTTAAAGTGAGCCTGAAACTTGTTATTCCTTATTCACTATGAAAAGGATTTACCAAGAGAGTTCATGATAGGGTGGGAAGGTCTCAACCGCTTTTTATCAACGATTGGCAAAAATGCTGGGATACACGCTATTAGTCTATAAGAAGGGTTGATCAAGTTTCAATCTCGGTGTGAATGAGAGCGAAATTAGCTACGCCATCGTTGCTGCATTGGATGATTCTTTTGCCTTCTGTAGAGCTGATTTTGGAGGCGGTGGAGGATATCCACTGTACATAAATACACTTACTATGACAATTCCAGCACCTAGAAGGAACAGGCCTGTCAGGGGCACATGAAATAAAAAGTAAGATGCGAGGCAGCTGAACACAATTCCAATGGCTGTGGCAAACCCCTTTAAGATGTTATCGGCATACTTCAACACCATGGCAACGATGAGACCACCGACAGCCTGCAGGACTATAAGGAACCAGACATAGGCGTCACACCCAACGAAGAATCCCTCTTCCATTATTTGTCCTGCATCCTGAATAAAGGCAGATACTAAAGCGATGGGCGTAGATAATAAGGACAGCTGAACCTGGCTCATCCATAGCGAGACATTGTGTCCTTTAAGGATACGTTCAAAGTAGACACCCCCAAACCCTGAGAGAACACAAGCCATCAATACGGCAAGAAATCCAATCAAAGGACTCTGCGCATGAGTGCTCACCTTCCGACTCTCCTCTTGAGATAGCTGCACGATCGCAATCCCAGCTATTAAAATGACAAGAGCCAGTCACTGTAAACGAGAGAGACGCCGATTCAACATTGTCACGGTAAACATGGCTGCAGCGAGGATCTTTAGCTGATATGTGACTTGGTAGACTGCTACATCAAGGTTTCAAGATCCAATATAAACACAATTGTTCTGCAGAACGTAGATGAGAGATGGTAAGGCCACTTTCAAGGTGTTGACGGGGTTATCGATGATTTCTACTCTGAGGGCTCTTTTCCACCTATGGAAGTCTCCTTCATCACGATATACCATGAAAAGACTGGCTAGGCATTTTACCACTTCGCTCATTAAGACCGCTACTGTAATAATGTATAGCTTCACATCTCGAACTCTGGAGTATCTCATACAGATGACAAGGGCTGAATTTTGCACTGTTAGAGATACCACGCTCACAGTCTTCATGTAAGCTGAGGTTTGGCCTCCGCTCTGCTTCATGTTTGTTTCAATGTGTTTACTCGGATGCTCAGCTTCGCTCTCTTTTGCTTCAGAGGAGGTTTCACCACTTGACATCACCAAGTGAAATTCCGGCAGCACCGAGAGAGATTTAAAAAGTTCATCAAAATTGGAATTTGCATTCAAAGCTGCTGATTTAGTTTTCAGTCTCTAGGCATGCCCATAAAAGCAGGACTGCAATTTTAGAATCCTGAGAAAGGAAGAACAAATGAATCATTTCGGTAACTCTCCTGCACTGCATTTGTATGAGGAATTGTTTATAAGCCTATTTATATTTCCGTTACCCAAATGTGGGTGGTTGGTTCACAACGTTGACAGTCTCCCGAGTGACCGCCCTCACCAGGAGTCACCTGGTCTGGGATCGCTCATTCATAGCGCATAAGCTAAAAAAAAAAGGGTCGAGGAGCGATAGCGCGATCCATGATCCAAGGTCATTCAATAATATATGCTTGCTTTCAGGAACAGGTCATCGAATTTTAAGAACAGTTAGGCCATTAATATTGAAGCCTTATTCCTTTGGTCAACACGTTTCTCGCATATGTCAACCAGTTATAATCTGGGAAATTAAAATCTGCTCTTGAGCATATAAAATTGACATGGAACATTTGCACCTTCTTCGTCCAACAGGCAGAGGACAGATCCATTCATATCCCAAATAACTGATTCCCCTCTAATTTCCTTTTAAAAAAATGAGATTATGGGGTTTTGATTGATCGATGAATGTCACAATGAATCGACTAGAGATCTGACGCCACACCTATGATACAGGCCTTTGCAAGGTCCTATCATCGTCTCCACAGATGATTGGGCAGGTAAGAAAATGACAGACCCTTCACAGCATTACCAATTCGGGAAACTTCACTTTGAATTAACCTATCAAATACTGCTAATAAATTACAGGGTGACTCAAAAGTCCTTGGACACCTTTAATCAAGTGTAGCATTCTCTGATCAAGACCAATTTAATTTCTGATTTGACCAGTGCAAAGATCACAAAAAAACTAAACCAACCATGTTTTTATGTTTAAAAAATATCGCCATTTGAGGCAATAACCTGCTTCAGACGTTTTGGAAAATCACTTACAGTTCTTCACAACTGATCAATCGACAATTCATACCATTCCTTCGGCAGATCAAGCTTTAAGCTATTGATACTCTTATGTGGCTTGCAGCAGACCTTGACCTGCAAATAGGACCACACACTGTAATCCAATGGATTAAAATCAGGACTACTAGCAGGCCATTCTTCTGGGGAAATCAAGTCTGGAAAGTGAGTTCTGCAGAAGTCGATGGTGGATTTTGCCTTGTGAGCTGGTGCTGAGTCCTGTTGGAATATCCAAGACTAGGATTTGAAATGTTCCTGAGTCCAGGGGAGTAGCACCTTCTTCAACACACTCTTGGTAGTAGCTGGCATTGATCTTGGCCTGAGGCTGCACAAAATGCACGGGAGTTTTGCCAGAAGCACAAACACCACCCCACACCATCACACTACCTGGTTTTTGAACTCGTTGGACATATCGCTGGTGAGACTTGAAAGAGGAAAGCTTTTTACCTCAGAGGCGATGGTTTTGGGGGTTGCAAGCTTGCTCTACAGTGAAAATTTTTTTGTCAGAAAAAACAATCCTTTGGAGCGAGGTCTGGTTAAATCATTTGAGCAAATGGCGGAACTTTTGAACTTGTTTCTTCTTGTTGATCTCTGTAAGCAGTTGAACCTTTTGTTGTTTTTTTTTAAGGCTTCATGCAGAGCTTTCCCCTGATGTATCTTCGCAAGGTCTCTTTGTCCACTCTCAAGGTTTGCGCAAGCTTTCTTCCAGAATGCTCTGGATTTCGGTATAGCATTTGCCTGACTCGTTTCTGGAGCTTCTTATCCTGGAA